CAGCTAATTTTTTGTATTTTTAGTAGAGATGGGGTTTCACCATGTTGGCCAGGCTGGTCTCAAACTCCTGACCTCAGGTGATCCACCTGCTTGGGCTTCCCAAAGTGCTGGGATTACAGGCATGAGCCTCCCTACCTGGCCATCCCTAAGATTTCTGTTTGGTACTTTTTTATACTTTCTGCTTATTGAAATTCTCAAGGTTGTTCATGCATTGCTTTCCTCACCTTGGTGAGCATCTTTGTGATGATTCTTTTGAATTGCCTGTTGGGTAAATTGCATTATCTCCATTTCAGTAGGGTTGGTTTCTGGAAATTAATTTTGTTCTACTATTTGGAACATATTTCCCTGTTTCTTCATTTTCCTTGTATCTCTGTGTTGGTTTCTGTGTGTTAATAAGAATAGAGTCTCACTCAGTTTTTCACACTGGCCTTACATAGAAGAGCCTAATCAATACATGTAAGGTGCCTCTCACATTTTTGTGTTTGTCCAAACTGCAGTCTCTGTTTTTAGTGACCCCTAGGAGATTAGGATGTGCCAAGACCTGGCAGTCCTCTGAGTCAGGTAAGATAGAAGCCAGTCCCTCTAGATGTAGCTGGAAAGATTGGGGCGTTAGATTTGTCTTCCACTTCATTTTATCCTCAGGGTGAAGCTGAGAGGAATTTATCTCCAAGTCTCCCTGCATTAAGTCAGGGAGTGTATCTGTAGCAAATGCCTGCACTCTCCTTCAAATCGCATCCTCTGATCCTTTGCTGGACGTGGCGTCATTGAATGTCCACATCTTTGTTTTCTGTGGTCTAGGGAGGCTCAGGAATGCTGAGCTTAATCAACTTACAGAGCTAGGTGGTTATAGAGGCAACCCCTTGGGAGGGAACTGTAGAAGTTATGGCACTCAATGCTCCTTCAGGGAGCATCTACATACCTGGCTTTATTGCTCAAGCAAACTGAGGGGGAAAAGCACAGGAAATGCCTAAGCTCCTGTTCAGGCTCCCATAGGTCTATTGCTTCTCTACCCCATTAGTTTCCAGGTGCAGGATAGATTCTCAAACCACAGCTGAAAAAGTGTGCAGACAGACACTTCCAGAGAGAAACTGAGAGGTGTGCACTTTAGACCATTCGCTGCACCGGTCTTGATATGTAAACAATGGCAGGGTTCGTGTTTCAGTTTAAAACCACCTCTTGGCCAGTGGCGGTGGCTCACACCTGTAATCCCAGCACTTTGGGAGGCTGGGGCAGGCGGATCACCTGAGGTTGGGAGTTCGAGACCAGCCTGACCAACATGGAGAAACCTTGTCGCTACTAAAAATACAAAATTAGCTGGCTGTGGTGGCACATGCCTGTAATCCCAGCTACTCAGGAGCCTGAGACAGGAGAATTGCTTGAACCCGGGAGGGAGAGATTACGGCAAGCCCAGATCGCATCGTTGCACTCCAGCCTGGGCAACAAGAGCGAAACTCCATCTCAAAAGCAAAAACAAAAACAAAAACAAAAACACCAAAAAACAAACAAACAACCCACCTGTTCGTTCTGTGTTCTAGAGAGACTAGTGAATGCCAAGTCCTTTCAGTTCCCAATTTTAGATGGTTTAGGATGGAGTCTCTTAGTTGGGAGCTGTGAAAACTGGGGCACTCTATGTGTGGAAATAGTTTTTTTTTTTTTTTTTTTTTTAAAGAGAGAATCTGTAGACATGGAGTGAGCGGGGGAGACTTGGAAAGCGCCAAACTTCCATTTAGACTCCCAAGGGTCTATATCCTGTTAGATGTAGGCTGGTTAGAAGCCTATCAAGCAGCAACTGGAGGAGTGTTCTGGGAAACCCCTTCTGTGGCAAAAGATATATAAAATAAATTTGCCGTCTTAGACCTTTTTTTTTTTTTGAGATGGAGTCTCACTGTGTTGCTCAGGCTGGAGTGCAATGGCACAATCTCAGCTCACTACAAGCTTCGCCTCCTGGGTTCAAGCCATTCTCCTGCCTCAGCCTCCCGAGTAGCTGAGACTACAGGTGCCCGCCACCACACCTGGCTAATTTTTTTGTATTTTTAGTAGAGACGGGGTTTCACCATGTTGGCCAGGATGGTCTCCATCTCCTGACCTTGTGATCCACCCGTCTTGGCCTCCCAAAGTGCTGGGATTACAGGCGTGAGCCACCGCGCCCAGCATTTTTTTTCAAAATTTTTTGAGACGAGTCTCACACTGTCACCCAGGCTGGAGTGCAGTGGCATGATTTTGGCTCATTGCAACCTCCGACTCCTGGGTTCAAGCGATTTTTCTGCCTCAGCCTCCCAAGTAGCTGGTATTACAGGTGCCCATCACCACAACCGGCTATTTTTTTTTTTTTTTTGTACTTTTAGTAGAGACGGCATTTCACTATGTTAGCCAGGCTGGTCTCGCACTCTTGACCTTGTGATTAGCCCACCTCAGCCTCCCAAAGTGCTGGGAATAGTGCTGGGAATACAGGCGTGAGCCACCGCGCCTGGCCCTCATCTTAGACATTTTAAGGTGTACTGTTCAGTGGTATTAAATACATTCATAATGTTGTGCAACTGTCACCACCACGTCTTTATAATTCTTTTCATCCTGTCATAATGAAAATCTATACCCATTAAACAATTAACTCCCCATTCTTCTTTTCTGCTAAAAACTGTAATTCTACTGTCTTTATGATTTTGACTACTTTAAGTACCTTGTATAAGTGGAATCATATAGTATTTATCTTTTTGTGACTGGAATATGTCACTTAGCATTATGTGCTCAAAGTTCATCCACATTGTAGCCTGTTGCAGAATGTCCTTCATTTTTAAGGCCTAATAATATTCCACTGTATGTATATACCACATTTTGCTTACCCATTCATCTATCTGTAGACACTGGGGTTGCCTCCATGTTTTCAGTATTATGAATAACGCTGCTATAAACATGAGTGTTTGAGTCCCTTCTTTCAATTCTTTTAAGTATATACTCAGAAACGGAATTGTTGAATCAGATGGTAGTTGTAGGTTTAATGTTTTCTCTTTTTTTTTGGAGACAGGGTCTCTCTCTGTTGCCCAGGCAGGAGTGCAGTGGTGACACCACAGCTCACTGCAGCCTTGACCTCTAGGGTTCAAGCAATCCTCCCACCTCGGCCTCCTGAGCAGCCTTCTGAGGCAAGGGCTGAAGTTGCTGTGGACTGATATGAATACGCTGCTGGTAACTTGGGATAACTTGGATCTGTGCCACTGCTAACATTATCATGACATTATCAAGACTTCAGGGAGCGGTGGCTCATGCCTGTAATCCCAGCACTTTGGGATACTGAGGCGGGTGGATCACGTGAGATCAGGAGTTCAATACCAGCCTGGCCAACATGGTGAAACACGTCTCTACCAAAAATGCAAAAATTAGCTGGGTGTGGTGGCAGGTGCCTGTAATCCCAGCTATTTAGGAGGCTGAGGCAGGAGAATCACTTGAACCCGGGAGGCGGAGGTTGCAGTGAGCTGATATCTCGCCACTGCACTCCAGCCTAGGCGACAGAGCAAGACTCAAAATGTCTGGCTGGGCGTGGTGGCTCATGCCTGTAATCCCAGCACTTTGGGAGGCCGAGGCGGGTGGATCACCTAAGGTCGGAAGGTCGGGAGCTCAAGACCAGCCTGACCAACATGGAGAAGTGCTATCTCTACTAAAAATACAAAATTAGCCAAGCGTGGTGGTATATGCCTGTAATCCCAGCTACTCGGGAAGCTAAGGCAGGAGAATCATGCCACTGCACTCTAGCCTCGGCAACAAGAGCAAAACTCCATCTCAAAAAAATAAAAAAAAAAGTTCAACTTAGGGGCATAAAGTACAGGTGCATGCCACCACAGCCACCTAATTTTTATATTTTTTGTAGAGGTTGCCCAGACTGGTCTCAAACTCCTGTGCTCAAGAGATCCCCTTGCCTCAGCCTCCCAAAGTGCTATATATTTAATTTTTTTGAGGAACTACTCTAAAACCTCTAAATAGGCCAGGTGTGGTGGCTCACGCTTGTAATCCCAGCACTTTGGGAGGCGGGCGGATCACAAGGTCAGGAGTTCAAGACCAGCCTTGCTAACATGGTGAAACCCCTGTCTCTACTAAAAATACAAAAATTAGCTGGGTGTGGTGGTGGGCACCTGTAGTCCCAGCTACTCGGGAGGCTGAGGTTCAAGAGAATTGCTTGAACCTGGGAGGAGAAGGTTGAAGTGAGCCAAGATGGTGCCACTGTACTCCAGCCTGGCAGACAGAGTGAGACTCCGTCTCAAAAAAAAAAAAAAAAAAAAAGGAAAAGAACCAATAGGACAGAGAAAGTTGTTAATATGAAGATACATTTTTGGTAAGGCAAGTTAAAAGCAAAAGAGAATAACTTTGTATGAGAATGAATCTTATGTAATAAATATTGGTCCCTAAAGTGATTTTTTTTTTTTCTTACAGAAAGCATAGGACAAAGCAGAAAGTCAAAGCATGTTGTCAAAGGTCTGAATAAGTTGTGATAAAGTTAGTGGTGACAGATATCTGAATTACCCCATTACCAGTGGCATATTCATAGGAGTCCACAGCAACTTC